AGCGGCTCTTTCCTTACCTCCCCAGGGCTCGGCTCCTCTACAACAACAACTTCGGGCCAAATTTCCGAGGTCCTGGGCCCTGGGCCATTGTCAACTACAGTCAGATGCCTCTGGGACCATATGTGACCGGTAGGTCAGGGGTTCGAGCAGATGCTCCCAGGCAGAGAAATTCAGGGGATGGGGGGACCCCGCCGTCCAGCAGGTCAGTGGGGACGGGGATGGAGCACCTCGCTGGGGGTGGTGGTGGGGCTGCAGGTCAGCGGCTCTTCTCCCTCCTTACCTCCCCAGGGCTCCTTCGGCTCCTCCCAGATCTACAACAACAACTTCGGGCCAAATTTCCGAGGTCCTGGGCCAGGCGGCATTGTCAACTACAGTCAGATGCCTCTGGGACCATATGTGACCGGTAGGTCAGGGTTTCGAGCAGATGCTCCCAGGCAGAGAAATTCAGGGGATGGATTTGAGTGGGCCAAGAGCATCGCCAAAGGACGGCAGGCAAGCAAGGTGTTTCTTCTCTCATCGCAGATATTTAGCTGTTTCCACGATTTTCCTCCGCAGCTCCCGTTTCCAGCTGAGGTAAGGCTGTGCTTACTGCTCTCCGCGTTTTGTTCGCCGGGGTCTCGTGGGAACACACGTGCAGACACGTGACGGGGCGGCCAGCTGTACGAGGGCTCCACTCCGTGCTGCCTCCCTGAGTGCCGGTGTCTGGATGCAGACTCTGGCTTGAGCAACCACAGTGGGTACTGGCAGCGGAGGCAGGAACAGGGGCAGGATCCTTCCCAAAGCCCTCAGGCCGGACGCCCGAGCTGGCTGCCCCTGCCCGGGGGGGTCAGCACGCTCCCCCTGCCCCTCCTTTGGTGTGGGGAGGGTCCGGAGCCTGGCTGACGGGCAGCTCTCCCCTCTCCTTGCAGCAGCCCCCGGGGGCCGCTCCCCGGCCCCCCAGCCAAAAGCCGCCCTGTCGCTGGAGGAAGGGCAGGGGAAGCGCGGCAGCGTTGCCTGCGTGGAAGACAAGCTGCTGCTGGCGCTGCCGGGCTCTCCTGCTCCTGCTTCAAGTGTGCTTCAACCAACGCGACCCCCTGCCGTCGCTGGAGCGGCTGGGACGGGGGTTTAATTTCCGTGTACATTTTTTGCACTTTCTTATTGAAGACTTGAAGAGTTTGTCTGGGCAAGGAGGACTGAGCTGAGAAGGGAGGTAGAGTCACGGTGTTTATGTCTGGTTTTATTGGCATGTGTGGGGTGTGAGGGGAGGCCGGTGGGTGCCCTGCTTCCTGGCCGGCTGCTCCAAGGCGCCCGTCCGGGGCTGAGCCGGCTCCTGCTCCTGAGCTTCCTTGTAAGGTCCATTTTTACGTCCTCGTGGTGTTTGAGCAAGTGCATGCGTGCTGCCAGCCCCGCTGCCAGAGCCTGCCCGCTGCCGGAGCCTGCCTGCCCAGCCCCGGCGGGAGCATCGGCGTGCGCCAGCACTGCTGTGGGGAGTCCCGGCACCGTCCTGGCAGTGGGGCCACGGCAAGGCCGGGGCTCCCGGCGTGCCAGGCTTGGGGCACGCAGGTGGAGGTGATGGGGGCAGGAGGGAGGGGACGGCCGGAGCCGGGACAGGGACACCTGCGAGCGTGGTGAACACCGACTGCGCCGCAGTGCCGGAGGCTGACGGCAGCTGTGAGCAATGCCCCTGCGTTCACTTCGTACTCTCTGTGTCCCGGTTTCTGTTCTCTGTGTCTTAATAAATCCTTTTGGAAGGATGCAGCGGGAGCCTGGCGGGGGTGAGCG